TTCCGTCCCCCAGGTCTGGATTCCCCCGGTTCTTTGCTGGCTCGCCGGTGCTCCCCTTCCATGAACCCTCTTTTCTCACGTCATCCTGTAACCAAGGCCAGGCTGGGCTTCTTAAAGTCCTGCTGGCTCTGCTTTCTTCTTTAGGTAAAGAGTGAAAACAGCCACCACTTGTCGCAGGATCCTGTCTTTTAAAGGCTACCGCCTCTCACTTAATTAGGACTACTTAATATCTGCATTGCATCGTTCTTGGCTACCTTGGTCTGGGGGGAGATGTTCTTTATTTTGTTTTGGTTTGGTTTGGGTTGAACTTTTTGTTTTTCACACTGAGCAAGGCTGTACCTACGAGCTAGCTCCTCTGACCCCTGGGTTAGATTAGTTTCTCTAATCATTTTTCACAGTGCCCTCCATTTTTGGTGTTGTATGTATAATCAATAAAGAGCATTGAGCTATAATTATTTTACTACAATTTTTAAAATTGGAGAAATAAACAGACACTGCGTAAATGTACGGAGCCACCTCCCTTCCGCTGCCATTCTCCTTGAGATGCCATACCTACTTCTCACCTGCAGCCTCGGCAGCAAGGGGCCCACAGGCCTGGAGAAGTGCGTGCTCCACCCCTCCGTGACAGTGTGGCTAACACATCTTCGGGCCTTCCTGGAACAGCGCTCAGGGCATGGTGGTGCAGTCACAGTTGGGCTTTAACTGCACTAACGCATCTTCCTTTAATATTATCCGTTGAAAAGCTCTCCCCTTATAAATGGTCTCTGCGTTTGGACATTATATAATCTAGTATCTCTAGGCCCTGTGTAGCAGATTTTGACATACGCACATGAAATTCTGCTTCAAACAAGTAGAAGTTGGCAAAAGATTGCTTTTCTGCACTACTGTACAAAAGCCACTAATGTGAAATGCGTTACACAGCAATAAATTATTCCGATCATAAATCTAAACAAATTAGTTCATCATGACAAATACCTTCTAAGTGAATTGGTGTGTGGGATTCAGTTCTTATACTACAGTTACTTTCCAAATATTCAAATTGAAAGCAATAAGATCCTCATAAAAAGTACCAAGTCTCTTGACTTCCAAGCAGGAAAATACTTTATTCTGCCCTGTATACTGATAAATCCAAATTATGTTCTTTTGCCACTTACACAAAAGTTCCTATAATTTTTTCATCAAATCATGTCTTACTGTTGTTCCTAAAGGCTTGGCTGTTGAGGAATATTCAGTGAATGATGAAAAATCACCTAAGATTATTTGCTGATGAACTTACGTGGTGCCATCATACTGAAATGTTTTAGTTAAATCATTAAGTTGTCCGTGTTGAAAACTGTCCCCTATAAACCACAAAGAAGTTTTCTAAAACTGATAAATGTTCTTACCAGTTAGAAACTCCAAATTATCATTCTATTCATATGTCCAGCAGAAGCTTTGTCATTTCCTTATTTTGTATCCTGCACTGACAAAAACATATTGCCTCCTCATTCTGAAGTTCTGTGGCTGGAGAAGTGATGTTTACATGGCTTATTAAAAGTATACTCAAAAAATAAATAGAAGTGTACTCAATTAATCCTCTTTAATGCAGTTTCTCAGCCTCAGCTTGTTGACATCGGGACCAGACAGTTCTCTGCCGAGGGCCATCCGTGTGATGGGGATGTTTAGGCTCATCTCTAGCCACTGCTCACTGGACAGCAGTGGCAGTTTCCAGTTATGACAACCAAAAATGTTTCCAGACATCGCCGTCATCTCCCCTTCTCATGCCCCCTTCTCAGCTGGCCCAGCTGAGAACCACTGTGTTAATCTACTGTTTCCTGCCAAATGAGAGGACATTGCCAAGTCACTGTTCTTATTTTCTCTTTTATTGTCCATTAACAGTATCATCACTTCACTGAACATGCACTCCACACTGGGTAAGCTTTCACATTCAGTAGCGATCTCACTTAATCCTCAACACCGGGCTACAAGGCAAGTGGTATTGTTCCCATTTCTCAGGCTTCACAGAAGGGGAAACTCACAATTAAAAGAGTTAAGTAATTTGCAAAGATAACATTGGAGAACAATCTCGACTGACACCAGAGCCATTCTCTCATCACCCTTCCCCATCTCCAGCTCGAAATCTGTAGTCAGAACTCCCACGTTTAGCTCCTAGCACCCTACTTGTGTTTGAGAAAATCGTACAACATTCCTAAGCCATAATTTTCTACCTATAATGATATCAGCGATTGTTTATATCTCACTGGGTTCATGTTAGTGAGATCAGCTCTCATGTTAGATCATCACCACACACTGAGATGATATTGTCGCTTTTATATAAATAAAAGAACCTTAATTTTTCTGACACGTTTTAGTTCAGCAATCTAGCTAGAAAGGAAAATGTAATTCAAACAATATTCATAAATAACCAAAAATAATAATGACTGTGTCCACTATTATAAAACCTTCGCTTCCTGATGTGCAGTAAAGATGAATTTTAAAGAACCTCATTATTAAATAGAACTCATACTTGACTCCCATTCTTGTCTCCTTGAATTCCTCTTCTTATAAAACAGATCAAGTATACTTTTTATATTCTTGGAATATAGATTTATGACCACTCGGTACAATATCATTCCCGTTTCATCCAGTGACAGTTCTTACAAAAACATAATTTTAAACAATGTCTCCCTGTCTGCCCTAATTAAGTATATTTGCCACAGGGAAGTATTCATTCTGCTTTCTTGGATGCAGAGTACAGTGGGTGTGTGCGTTTATCCTTTTGGGACTTGATTTTCTCTTAGACGAAATACTTACAAGAGAAATCTTATAGTAAGAATAGAGCCTCTCTGTCTTTTAAAATTTGGTACAAACATCCCTAAAGCTACAGGTAAATTCAGGAAACCTTAACTGACTGCAATAATTTCAGAATGGTAGAATAGGATTATGGTAGCAAGTTCTCAAGATTCTTTTGGGGATGGAGGAGCTTTTAGTCCCCTGAATACCTCGTGTCCCTGTCTCAGGTCCACTTCTGTATCAGAGCATCAGCATGTTAGCTCCACGTGGCCAGGAATGGTCTGTTTTACTAATTTCTTCTAGGCTCTATAACCAGAGTCTAGTGACTAACAGCTCCCCTCAAACTGTTTAGAATCTTAGACCCACCACTTGTAAGCAGTGATTTTGGACAATGCTCTTAATCCTTCTAGTCCTCAATTTCCTCATTATAAACTAGAATGATAATACTACCTACTCATAGCGTTGTCACTTTAAATACTACGGGTACAGTGTCCACACCATGCCTATTAAGACCTCAGTGCTTTAAATTAGTTGTGTTATTGCTTCTACCTAGAATCTCTTTTCCCCTCCTCTCCTTCTTGGCCTGGCCATTCTTCAGTCTTTAAGGTCTCAACTTGGTATGATCACTTCCAAAAATGGTCTCTGAAACCCTATATAAGTCAGGTGCCCTTTAACATTTCACAATATCTTGAACATTTCTCCAGAAAGAGAAACTTTTAAAGACCTCTGTAGGCCTCAGGCATTCTCATTTTTGGAAAGCCCTTCCCACATCTTTATCAAAGATATTACAATGCACCTACATCCTATGGAAAATAAAATTTAGTACAACCACTGGAGTCCAGTTTCAGGAGTTCAAATAATATTTTCTGTAGAATTCAATTAACACATACTAATTTCATTTTTTTCAGTATTCTATTCATTTTAGGGGATAATATTTTTCCCAGTGTTTAAATATTACAAAGTTCACACTGGAATTATACTCAAAAGCCCTAATGAATAAACTGCCCCAGGCCTTTATCCACTCTAGTGATAATGTGCTTATGGAAGACACTAGTCTCTGGTCAGATTTCATCTTCATTAATCTACCTAACCTTTGCTCCAGGTGGTTCTAGGCTGGGATTTCCTAATTCCTCCAAACTTGGATAAGGAGAGGACACAGTGAGGCCCTCCAATCTGAGGGTAGTAGGTACCCCCAGTCCACACAACCTTGACGCCACTGCATCAACAACCTTTCCCAACACCATCAATATCTGCCGCATCCATGTCATGTCTCCATGACAACCAAGGTTCTTGAAACCTGCCAGGACACAGCCCTTGATATTGTCCTCTGTGTGTCCCTGTTTTCTTGTGAATTACTTTAATGATCTTGATATCAGTAAATTTAGGGAGCAGCTGAGACAGTAAATCCAGTAAGTCTTCCCAGGCTATTCAGTTTTGCAGTAGTAAGATTACCTGTGGTACCCATGTAAGAGGGACCACCTTCCACACTTACCATCACCTGGGTAGCAGGCCTATTCTGGGGTGACTGTCTTGGCTATCACAAAGTAAGCTCCACATGGCTTGCATATGAAACATACTGGTTACCTTTTCTAGGGTGTTCCACTTGAAATTTAGAGAGTTGAATAGTCTCCCTTCTCAAGGTAGACACACTTTACAGTGGCTTTTACCCCCTGGCTGGCTGTCCCCTCAAGCACAACCTTGTGTCTGCACACCATACACCATCTGTGATTGTTCAGGAGTGTGTCTTGGTCCTGTGTTAACCTGAAAATGCCCCTTGCACTCTGCAATATTCAAATGGATCCTACATTACTCAGCTCTCACCATACATTTTAGTAAAGGGTCTTCAGGAAGCTGATGACACTGACTCTATGAAATGGAGAACTCCTTCGCAATATCCTGCCTTGACTTTAGTAGTCTCTTGGTTTTGCCTTTCTCCCAGATGGTCTACCTTCTCTATAACCAGAGGCCTTACAACACTTTCTATTTTCTTAGTACAACTTACCCTTCTGTGGATGGCTCTGAAGCCACCCGCTGAAGCTCAGACTGACCGAAACCCAAGCTTGGTCAACTATTAACCCTCAGTGTTAGCGCTTCCTTTCACTTTCATTTCAGCAGTAAAGGTAACTAATCAAAGGATTGTCTGTTTAGCAAGCTTGTTACTGACATTGCCGTCCATATTCTTGGGTGTCAGATGTGTCCCCATCTCCAAACTCCACTTGGTAGCTTACCTTAGTGACCGAGCACAGCCCACCTGCAGCTGTGCACTGTCCTCGTCAAGCAGAACGCAGGGCCGGAGGTTCCTGCGCTGTCCACTGCCCTGTCACCCTTCCTCTGCCCCAACGCCATGTGTTGTGAGCTGTGGCTGCTCTAGCAAATCCCGTCTTTCTTGACATCAAAAGAGTAGGAGATTCTTCCTCCTGTGGTATCGTTCCCAACAATTTGATTCAATTTTACGGACTTCTAGAATTAGCATCAGACTTCACAGGCTAAGAACTCCCACACAACTGACCTCTACTTCATACGGCAGCTACAGATGAAGAGCCTAGACTACCCCAGGTTTCCACTTGGCTGGCTACAAACTCAGTGGTTCCTACCACCCCTTAGACTCAATAATTATCTAGAATGACTCACAGAACTCAGGAAAACACTTACTCACAGTTGCCAGTGTGTGACACAACTTGGAACCTGCCAGATGGAAGAAATGTATACGCCAAGGTAGGGGGCTAAGCACAGAGCTTCCGTGCCTTCTCCGGAACATATATTTAAATAGAATGGCCAGGGGCCTCACAAGCTCGCAACATTTAACAGTTGAAAGGAAAAGGGAGGAAAAGGCAGGGGAAAGCGCTCCAGACAGACAGAACACCAGTGTTAGGGACACAGCTCACGACAGTCAAAACCCAGTAGGAAGCCAGTGCAGCTGGAGCACGGAGAGCCAGCCGGCAATGGTAAGAGACAGGTTCATACAGATGCTGGAGGAGCCCGATCGCTTGGGGTCTTATAGACTTTTATAAGGACTTGTCCTTACATCTCATTTTCCAGAATGAGGCCACGTGCTCACCACACCCGAGAGCAGGGGGTCACCTCAGATGCTCACGTATGACCATGACTGTTAGCAAAGAAGGGGTTGGAGGAACAGGTACCGGGGCAGACGCGGACTGCGAGCCAGTCTGTCCCCCGTAACTGGATGAGTGGATAAAACTCTGAACATCACAAAAGTAGGTAATTTTGAAAATGTTATAATAACAAACTTTTTTAGTAACATCTAAAATTGCACAAGAAAAACTCAGGTGGCCACTACTAAAACTAGGAAGGAAAGCATTCCTGCAGAAATAGTTTCCCGCTTTTCCTGATTATCCACATAATTTTGTCTCTTGCCTCAAACCCCAACTCTCAGTTTGTCAATGAAGATCTGAGACTTGCTAGTACAATGAAGGGGGCTTCGGTAAGTTGACTGTGAACATGGGTGAGTGCAGTATCACGATTAGTGCTGGGATACACTGCTGTGTGCCAAACCTGGCTTAACAGCTTTGTGCCTTGGTTTCCTCATCTGACAAAGGAGAGTGGTGATGATAACAGCTTAATCCTTGGGTGTGTGGCAATACATCACAAACACTGAAAACAGCAGTGGAACTGTAGTGTGTGCTTATTAGTTAGCTATAATGCAGTAATTTGCCATGTCATCTACCGCTTTGCTCTCTTGCCCTTGCTGCTGCAGGGAGAACTTCTATCTCTATGCATAAAGGCGTCGGTGCCCTGACCTGCAGCTTGGGGATCGGTGGCTCTGCCTTCCAGCAGCACAGTGTAGATGAGCTACTCCCAGCTCTCCTAACTCCAGGGACATGCTCACCACATTTTTGAAAGATGATGGGAATTGATTTTTATCTTTAATTTTTGCTTACAAATAATTCATCTGTTATGAGAAAAATAACAAGCTCCAGAGGGAACATGCAGGATCCAGTTTATGCCTGCTCTCCCTTGAGTCAAAGATGAGAATTATCTACCATTAATACACTTAATGAGAACCTGCAAGCTGTTATTCAGACTCATCTCTTTTTTATTAAAACACATTAATTGTACATGTTCGTGGGATTTAGCATATTTCCACACAAGCATACAGCAGGCATTAGTCAAATCCAATTCTCTTTTTCCACACACCTCTCACTAGATACACACCCTTTCCAAGCTCCAGTGATCACTACTCTGCTTTCAAGTCCATTTGCTTTAGCTTTCACATACGAGAGAACATACAGGACTTGTCTTTGTCTCACTTGTGTCACTCAGCATCATGTCCTCCATTTCTTCTTTATGGCTGAGTAATACTCCATTGTGTATGTATACCACATGCTTTTCCACTCTCTTGTTGCTAAGCTACCTTAACTATCGTGAATAACGCTGTGATAACCATGGGTGAGCCCGTGTCTCCTTTTTACGCTAGCTTCATGCTCTTTGGGTGTACACCCAGAAATGGAGTGGTGAGATCACAGGCTAGATCTATTCTTAGTCTTTTGAGGAACTTTCCTGCACAATGGCTGTACCAATTTACATCTGCACCAACAATTATGAATTCCTTTTTTTCCCAGATCCTTGCCAGCATTTGTTTTGCTATTGTTGTTGTTGATGTTATTTCCTGCTTGTTTGTGCATTTGCTTGGTGGTGGTAGTAGTGGTGGTGGTAGTGGTGTGTGTGTGTGTGTGTGTGTGTGTGTGTGTGTGTGTGTAGAATCAGAGAGAAAGAGAAAGAGGGAGAATAGTCATTCTTTCCTGGAGCAAGATGGTCTCTCATTGTAGTATTGATTTGCACTTCCTGTTTTAAAAACCACCAATGTCAGCAGCCATCATGTTGGACTCCGGGGTCTGTAGCTCTCTCTGCTGTGGTGCTCTTCTAAATTCCAAGCTAAGTACAAGCCTATTACCCCGTCCTGCTTTGGCGCGCTTTCTGAAGCAAGTGACTGAAATCCATCTGAAACTGACTGAAAAAGGGCGGTTCTCTCCTCCACGTTGGAAGCCCTGCTGCACCCTCGCCTTAGACGGGAGCGAGCGGGGCTCTAGCATAGTCGCCATTTCTCTCCCAAACTCTGCTTCTCTCTGTTGCTCGGGCCTCACTCAAGTGTAACAAGGGAAAATAATCACCAAGAAACCCAAAGCAGTGTAATTTGGAGTATTAGCTAGCTAGCTAATACTCCAAATTACACGTAACTGATAAGTAACTGAGTTAGAAATCCGCTTCCTACGTTTAAGAAAACCAAATATCATCTCTACCATGAAGCCTTCTCTGATCACCTGAGTCCCTGGTGATGGCTACTTTATCAAAATGCTGAAGCACTTACTTTCTATGTGGGTTTTTTTGATGGAATAGATGTATTATTAACCTGACATGAATAAAAATATTAACAAGTACTTTTTATATCTTCAAATCAATTATTTTTTATGACCACAATTATTTTTCTCATTATAAAAGTTTCACATACTTCAGGTTATACATGGCAGGTTCAATACTCATAATCATAACTTTTAACCTCCCTTGCCTTCTGCCTAAATGAAAAGAATTTCATTTAAATACACAGGACAAAAAAAATTTTTTAATGATAATAATAAAAATAAAGAACACAGGGCCAACAGGAGGCAAGAGCAACAAAATTTTGGAAGCTGGAAAGTCAACAGTAACTGACTTATCAAAGCCACAGAAGCTGAAACAGCTTTTGAAAGAGCTCAGAAGTAGGCTGGCCTGTGCCAGAGAACCCCAGAAAGACCCAAGAAGCAGAGACTCAGTGCCAGCAGAAAGAAAGCTTGATTGAGCGTCCAGTGTAAACACAGTTTTCCCCACACCAAAACTACCTGGTGGCGCAAAGCAGCAGTCTTTCCTTAACCAAGCAGAAAACATGGCTTCCTCCTGGAGGAAGCGAAGCAGAGAGATCCAGATGTCAAGGTCAGCAGGCCCAGTGGGGGTCAAAGTCACACTGTGAGGAGCAAGGGAGCTGGAGATGTAGCCCAGCGGTAGAGTGCGTACCTCACATGTGTGAGTGGGGCCCTGGGCTGACCCCAGCGCCAAATTAACTACATCAACCGCTGGTTTGCGGAGTATTCAGTTCATTCTAGTGTATGCAGCTCTCACCCTAACAACAGCAATTCTGACGTTACAGTGCTCATTTATCAAACACCCTTCAGGTACTGGCCAGCGTGCTACCACTTACCTGCATTAGCTCACATCTAATCCTCAAATAAGTCTAATGAGGTAAGCATTATTTTCTTGCCACTTTAAAAAACAAGGAAATCATGTCTTAAGTTGATAACTGGTCAAAGAAATTCACAACTAATATTTGGAAAAGACCAACTTCAGACTCTGAACCACTACACTAAATGAGTTGCATTTATCAGTCTGTTCATTTATCTCTTTAACAAACACTTTCTATGCAGCGGATACTGTTGCATTAAAGTTTATAAAGATGAATATAATATGTGGTTTCTATCCCCAAGAATCTCTCAGCATGAGGGTAACAAAATAATAAGCAATGTCATTGATACATTGAACAAGTAGATCTTTAAACAGATTAGGGCAGGGGGAGTGTCTTGGTTACTTTTCTCTGTTGTTGGGACAAAATACCTGATGCCCAAAATTAAGGAAGGAAAGGTTTATTTCTCTTACAGTTTGTGGAGGTTTCAGTCCATACTTGGCAGGTTACAAGGCAGAGTGGCACATGGCAGAGGGCTACAGCTGATGGCGGCAGAACACAGCAAAGCAACAAGCACACAAAAGCCAGGAATGACTGCAAGCAGCTTCTTCCTCTCCCTTACATATGCAAACTATCCACCCCAGGGCGGGTGCAGCTCTCACACCCATAATCAATCAAACTCTAAAAGCCTGCCCCATGGCCGCATGAGGCTTTGGGGGGACACCCAGACACAAACCATAACAGGGAGACATTCTATCCTTTCTCTCTGCTAGTGGTCTAATCCCTTTCTGTGAGCTATCTCCTCCCCACGTGAGAAGGGGATGACGTTGCGGGTGGATTCTATAAACGCTTCTGGATGCCCTTAGTGCAGAGTCCCTCTGTCTCTGTTAGTCACAAGAACAGTCTGATTTTAGTTCTGTTTAATAATCCAAATGTCACTCCAAGTCAGTGCTTTTCAGCCCCCAGTTTGGGGTTGCCTCAGGCTACACGGTGAGGAAGAAAGTTCAGGGTCCGTTTCTCCTCTCATCCCTCTGCTTCAAGCTTCTCCTGCCTGTGTCTCCGCCTACCATTCCAGCCTCCTCCAGGGTTGGGGCCAGGAAAGACAGACAAACAGCAGGATGCTTCTCACCATTAATATCCTTGTCAGCACTGTGCTCTCTGGCCTTGGAGACTTTAGAGCTGACTTCCTACCAGGGTGCTTCTGGGGGACCAGGCACCCCACTGGAGTCTTCTGAAGAGCCCCTTTGATGAGGCAGTGCCTCTTGCTTGGCTTCTGCTTTGTCCCCTGGCCCATGGCACCCACGGCCGCAGCTCCTCTACTGGCATCAGTTCTCTCTTCTGCCTGTCTTCCTGGGCAGGGTTCAAAAACCCTCTA